CTGCGGGCGGCGGCGGCGGCGGCGACGGCGACGGCCACGTTGGCGGCGGCGAAGGCGACGGCGGCGGCGGACGTTCGGCGACGGCGACGGCCACGACGGCGGCGGCGACGACGACGACGGCAACAGCAGCAGAAACGGCGGCGGCCGCGGCGACGGCGACCGAGGCGGCGACGGCGGTCCTCGGTCGCGGCGGAGGCTTCTGCCCTCTCGGGGGCGGGCCTCAGAGCGCGCAGGCGGACTGCGGAGGGCCACCTCAAAGAGGGACCTCGGAGGGCACCTCGGGGGGACCTCGGAGGGCACGGGTGACATCTGGCGGGCCTCGAAGGGAACTCTCGGAGGGCTGCGAGCGGGCCCAGCCGCGGGGGAAGGCATCGGAGGGCTCGCATGGACTCTGGAGGGCGCCTCGGAGGGCTCTGGGCGGGGGGGGGGGGCCTCGGCGGCTGGAAAGTGAAAAATCGAGGCGGCTGCTTGTTCGCTCTTTGGAGCCTGCGGGGGCTGATTTCGGGCCCCTGGGCCATCAAAAAGCGGATAGAGGCGAAGAGCGGGCCCAGGCAAGGGTCGGGGGCAAGCCTGGGGGGGAAATGAGAAGGAGCGAGCCGTTTCAGAAGGCTCGGAAGCCCCCCAGCCTTCTCAGAAGTTTTCTAAGCCTTTACCGGAGACACAGAAAACCTCTCAGAAGGCCAGGTGCCTTCTGAGGAGCCCCGCTGCCTTCTGTGAAGGCCTTCTCCTTCTCACTTCCCCTCCTCGCTCGCCGCCGAAAGGGGTTGAGAGGTCCAGGCCAGGGACCCACTCCAGTAAGAACACAAACGAAAGAAGCCGCCGAAGTCGGTACCTCGGGGGATGGTGGAGGACCTCTGGGCCACCTCGGCAAGCTGCGGTCCAATGACTGGCAGCGCAGACGAAGTGGAGCAGAGGAACGTGCGCACGTGCGCGGGCGAACACATCCATGTACGATCATGTGCGCACGTGCATCTGCGTACGGATTAGCACACATGCGCATGTAGACATATGCCCCTCGGATTCTCTGGGTGACCCGGAAAAGGAAGGAAGACCCCTAGAACAAACCATCATAATCGGCATCGTACTCAGCAGCAACACCATCATCGTCATCACCAGTATCATCACCATCAGCAACAACATCAACAACAGCAACAGCAGAAGCAACCACAACAATACCACCAACACCAACAACAACAACACCACCACCACCAACACCACCACCACCACCACCACCACCACCACCAACACCAGCAGCAGCAGCAGCAGCAGCAGCAGCAACAACAACAACAACAACAACAACAACAACAACAACAACCATGTTTTAAAGACTGTTGGCTCCGATCTGCTCACGTGCCAATCAACACGTATATCCCAAACCCTCGGTATCCGCCCTCGTCGTCTTCGATCGTACCCCCTTGGGGGTATATCTTCCTTACCCGCCACGTGTATCAAATGCAGCCCCTTAAACAAGGGAAGAGAGGACGGGTAAAAGGGGGAGTGAGAAGAACGGAGCACGAGACAAATTAGCAGGAGGGGGGCAAGGAGCAGAAATCAAGTGGTAGAACCAAACGGGCAGATCGGGTGGACAGACCCATAGCGGGCAGGTCGGGAAGGCGGGCCCAAGCGACGAGGTCGAGCAGGCGGGTTGCTGAAGCGTGGGTCCTGCATGAATCGCGAGGAGGTCTCGAGCGATAACGCGATTCCCAAGTAAATCGTAAGAAAAGCCAGCGTGGGCCACGAAGGGCGTAAAATCCGAGGCCACAGAGGGCAGCGACGGGGCCGGTGAGGGCAGCACCGGGGCCACGAAGGGCAGCGAGGGGGCCACAAAGGGCGACAGAGGGCCACGAAGGGCATGCATATGGGGCCACGACGGGAGCGAGCGGGGGCCACGAAGGGCATTCGTATACGGGGCCAGAAAGGGCGACAGCGGGGCCACTGAGGGCAACAAAGGGGCCACGAAGGGCAGCGAGGGGGCCACGAAGGGCGACAGCGGGGCTACGAAGGGCATGCGTATGGGGCCACGACGGGCGCGTGCGAGCGGGGGCCACGAAGGGCATATAATGCGGGGCCACAAAAGGCAGCGACGGGGCCACCGAGGGCAGCAACGGGGCCACGAAGGGCAGCGAGCGAAGGCGACCGCGGAACCAATACGGGCAGCGAGGGGCATCGAAGGCGGGCGGAGGGCAGCGAGCAGCGACTGCAGTCATTAACGGGTTGGTCGGGCGGGCAGGCCCCGACGGGCGGGTCGAGCGGGCGGGTCGTTGAAGCGTGAGTCCTGCTTGAACCACGAGGCAAGATGTAGCGGGGGCGCGATTCTTGAGTGTCGAGGACCGTCATCTGGATAAAGTGTGAGGAAATATCAAGCGAAGCGGTTCGGTGGTAAAGTGCGAGGAAGTCCCAAGCGAGAAAGCGATTCGATAATACGATTCTAAAATACATTGTCAGGAAGTTTCAGGCGGGAGCTGCGGTTCGGTGGTAAATTGCCAGGAAGTCCAAAGCGAGAGCGCGATTCTTCAATAAATTGTGAGGAAGTCTCAGGCGGGAGCCGATGTTGTTGTAGTCCGGGGAAGCAACAACGCAGTTTGACCCGGACTAAATTGTGAGGAAGTCTCAAGCGGGAGCGCCGTTCCTGAGTAAATTGGAAAAAATCTCAGACGGGAGGGGGGGTCCTGAGTAAATTTGGAGGAAGTCTCAGGCGGGAGCCGTTGTTGTTGTAGTCCGGGTGGCCAGGGGCCCAGTTTGACCATCAAGACTTTCCCTGTCAAAGAACTGGGTGCGAGCGTCGAGGGGCACACTTTGACTGAGAGAAAACAGTATGCACCAGTGGGGGGCGGATCAATAATAATCATTCAGAAATGAGAGTTCAACAACAATAATAATAATAATAACAACAACAACAACAACAACAACACGAACAATAACAATAACAGCAACAACCACAACAACAGCAGCAACAACGACAACCACAACAGTTGCAACGACAACAATAACAACACTTAACACAATCGCAACAACAACTACAACAACAGCATCAGCAGCAACAACAACAACAACGAGTACAACCATAACAACCACAATCACGACAACAACAACAACAACAACAACAACAACAACAACAACAACAATCATTTTACCCGAACGCTCAGTGTTCTCCCCAGTGCCAGGGTTTTCATGCGACGCCAGCCAATACCCCCACTTCGTGGGGGGGCAATGCAAGCTCTACCAAACATCCACACGACTCTCGGGAACCACCCACACCCAGCTTCCCGCCCTATGACGTCAGGACACTTCACTTCGTGGCGCGCGGACGATCGTGGATACTACACTGGCGTGGAGTACACACCCGCAGAGGTTGATCACTTGTTTGGGCCCCGCATGTGCCCCGCATCGTGCATTCGTTGCGCATGACATAGAGAGAGCTAGACAGAGAGAGAGAGAGAGCAAGACAGAGAGACAGAGAGAGAGAGAGAGAGAGAGCAAGACAGAGAGCCAGAGGAGAGAGAGATAGAAAGAGATTCGTCACATGTGTGAGGCAACCTGAGAAGATGTGGTACACGGTACACGTGAGATGGTACGCACTGCCAAGATAGTTGGTCACATTTTTGGGGCAATTTCCTGGGAAGGCGATTACACAAGTAGATGTGTCACGTATCATAGATATGAAGCAGAGAAAGAGCGAGAGACATAGAGAAGGAGAGAGAGGAGTCGGTCACATCTTTAGGGCAACTTCCTGAGGGATGTGGGAGGACACAAGAGAGAAGGTATCGTTGTCCCGATGGTTGTCTCGATGGTTGCCCCGATGGTTGTCCTGATGGTTATGGTTGTCCCGATCGTTTTCCCGATGCTTGTCCAAATGGTTGTCCCGATGGTTGTCCCGATGGTTGTCCCGATGGCTGTCCGTCTGCGATGCAATGTTGTCTGTTTCTGCTGTTATACAGTCCCAAGGATGACGCATGCATTGCTCATACTTTCTCCTGCTTTCGCAAACAGGTCCAGTCACACTATGAATATACACGAAGCATACTAAGGCGACTCGTCCTCTGCGACGTCGCGAATACGCTTGGGTACACGGCCGCCTGGCTGATGCAGGTGCGGGCCTGGCTGATACACGTGCGCTCCCAAATGGCCAATGACATTGCCGATACGCCTGCTGGCGGGAGAGCCGGGGCTCGCATACGGCAGTGCTAACGCGAGCACGTTGTGGACCTGCGGCGGCAAGGCCGGGTAATCGAGCATGTTCGGATACTCGTCGCTCTGACCAAAAGACCGCCATACGGGCAACCACCACCACTGGTCTTGACGCGGATACTTCATCTCTGGGCCGACCTCAGGGGATACGTTCCAAATGGCCATTTTCTGCGGGTCCGTACCCATGAAGGCCGCGTGATACGCAATGAATACGTCCAAGGTGGCGAGGGCCCTGGCGTCAGCAGATACAAATAAATGTCCCAGGAGCCACTGCTTCAAGACGGCCCCGTCAGTAGTCCCCTCGGGCATGTCTGTGCGAATACGTTCTCCATACCAGGTCTCCAGATGGCCAGCGTTCTGCACTTTGACAACCGTCTCTTTGGAAGAATACTGCAGTAGCCACATCTTTGCGACCTGATCTGTCACATACAGTGGTGGATCCAACTGTCGGAGCGCCCCACATAATTTGAAAGGTGTATTATACTCGATGCCCAGGTGGCGGATGGCAGAACCGTGCTGCTCCTCCAGCTCCTGGGCGCTAGAAATACTAACCTTGCCAGGCACAACCCGATACTTGCCCCACCAAGTCTTGCACGCCTGGTGACTGATCTGGATACCCTTTGCAACGAGCGCCTGATGCAAATAATACGGGCTCTCACAGTCGGCCAAGGGAGGCCGCGACAGCTCCGGGCCATACTGCTCGTCAAGGGCTTTCGCCGTCAAAGCCATGACCCAGCCAAGAACACAGGCGATACCTTGATCCGAGATGGCTACGGATATGCCAGTGATCAGTCGGAGGCTTCCTGGGGCCG